TTCAGTAGACTCAAATAATAGCCCAGTACACTCTCATGAACAAAGCAATTGGTAATTTTTAAATTCTACATGAGCACATGCACATCTGAGGGGTTTTACCTTTATTTCAGGGGTGAGGATCATGTCAAACTGATTGTAGAACTCCTTCGGGTTAGAGAGCTGATGCTCCTTAGCTGTTACCAGGAACTTCTCAATTTCAACGAGTGCAGTTTCAGCTCCCTCTTGTGACTGGCACTTGTCCACAGCTTGGGAAGCTAAGAGGTAGATTCCAGCTTCGCACCATTGGCTTGCCTTTAAAGAAAAATGATGTGGGGAAGAAGGACCCATCATCACTGACAGTCCATGTTGTCAAGTGTTGCTTCTACTCTATGAAACACCAATTTGCCCTAACATGTCACTAAGGGCGATCAATGTTACTTCATAGTGTGTAACAGTTTCTGCCTTCAAGTCTCCGCACCAGGATACGTAGGACCGAGCTTGTTGAACTGAACAAGTTCAGCTCTTATGGTCTAGATGGTTCAGTAATGTGTGAAAGAATAATATTCTGAGCAAAGAGGAGAAGTGTTACTGCAAATCAAATCTGTCAGTTGTACCACCTCGTTTCGGTGTTCAGTCACACAATCATCCAAAAACTGAAACAAAGATTTGAACCACGTCAAAACTCCCCAAAACTTCTTAGGCCTATAAAACTCAGTTAGAAACACTCCAGATCAGGTTTACACCATAAAATTTTGGTTATTCCTGTTTCAGATGAGGCTGGAATAGCATACAGACATTCTCGGCATGCTATTCTAGCTATATCAGAGAAAGTGGAAACTAACAAGCAGTAAACTGTAAGTACTAGAAGACGGTTGATTCTCATTTCAAATTTAGGCCTAGCTTAATTTTCCTTAGTTTTATTTCCTACTTTTCATTACTTTAAGAACATAATATGGGAAACTACTGCTCCATTTTTTACAGTAACATTTTCTGAATGAAATGGAGAAAAAAACCAAACACTTTTTCTCTTCATCAAAATTACATGAGCTTATAAAAATGTTCATTTGCAGTAGAACCTTACCAGGGCTGTTATCTGAGAAGTTTCACTCACCTTATCTAACTGCTTATGCAGCTCAAGAGACTTTCCCAAAATATCATACTTTTTCTTGGTCTCATTGGTAAAGTCATCACAAATCCGCCTGAGTTCAACACACTTTGGTCTAATGGAGTCAACTGCATAATGGTTGTTTTGGATGAGCTGTTCTCCATGGAGAGCTAGGGACTGGGCCTTTTCCAAAGGTTCCTGTTGAAATTAATGAGACAAATCCAAAGTTAAATCTCAGAATGTCAGGCATAATAACAACAATCCATCTCCATAATCCCTGCTGTAACTTGGAGATAAAGGTTTGGTATATCAATATAGCTGATATGTCTCACTTTATATTTACATTTAAGACCAACTTCATTGTCAATGAGTCCATTGAAACTCAAGAGGTTCCACCTGAACATTAGGAAACACATTTTGCTGTGAGGGTGACTAAATACTAGAACAGGTTGCTCAGAGAGGTTTGGAGTCCACTTCTTTCTCACATACTGGGCACATTTATTACACAAGTTTTTTTCTCTGCTTTTTTTCTCTAACTTTCCAAGTAACAAACTTGAACAACTGTGTCTGAACAACTCTGGCCCCTGGAAATCAGGATTTAAGATTTGCAATTTAAAATAATGATTCATGAAAACAGAGTAAACATGATGTAAGGTCAGTGACAGAGAAATGTCTAGAGCTCCGTGTCTATGGCAGCTAGAATACTAAATTGAGTGCAAACCTGTCCTTTCTCTTCCAGATGTTTCTGTTCTTTTAGGAGGTGCTCCACTCGAGTCACACTGTCTCCAATGTCAGCAAAACCTGACTGTGCTTCCATGAGGTTATCCAGTGTCAGTTTTACCTGAAAAAACAGCAACAACAAAAATATAAAAACCCCAAACAAAACAAACCCACTCAAAACTCCATCACAGGATACTCAAAATATTGCAACAAACCTTCTAAACATTCCCCTACATCTTTGAGAAGAGTCTGCATCTCAAGTTCAGCATTTCAGCCTGTTCCAAAATGAAAAAGCCAAGGAACAAAGCAACAGTCTTCAAAAAATTGCCCAGCTTCTCACCATTTCGGCCCACCCAGTTTTGAAGACCTGGAACTCCAAAATCTGTATTACTCCAGAATCTGTATTACTCCAGGCTCTGGGCTGACAGTTGGGCTTTCTGAACTCTACTCCCTTGACTCTGGTGGGATTGGCAATTTACCATCATGGCAGAAATTATATTTGATAACTTCACACCGAAATGCAAAATGATTCATCAAGAAGTTGGTGTTTCACATTTTGGCCTCACACCCTGGCAGTTTCCTCCTGTGCCTTATTCAAATGTTGTAAGACATCTGATAGCTGTCAAGAATTTAATTTTTGAATATCCATTTCCTATTTCATAATGAAGGGCTTCTCTCCCAACCTCCTTTTTGGATTGCCAATATTCTAAGTATGGGTAAAAATTTGACCTTATTTACCAGAGAAGGCTAGACAGAATGAACAAACGAAGTACCTCTCTAAAATCATGTTCAAAGTGTCGAAGCTGCAGGCACTGTTCTAGTTTTAGATGATGCTTGGTCCAAAATTGATCAAAAGCTTTTTCTGTTTCATCCAACTGAGCCAACAACCTGTTAAGACATTATAATGAACAGAATGTACTTATTTCCTGTAGTTCATTTCTTTTAAGTTACACTAATTGATGGTAGAAAGCAGAGCAGGGAGGTGGTAGGGAGCCTACACCTATGTAAGAGGGCTCTCTGTCAACTCTCCCTCAAGCAATAGTGAATTAAATTTGCAGTGGGACAGGCAGGAGTATGACAGATGAGTGACAACTACATGGGTCTACTGTGCCAGTTGCAGTCCTGTCTCCTGACCTGCAGCAGGGACACAGAGCTGTAATGTGTGCTGGCAGTCAAAGGCAGCTCTGTCTCCCTAGCTTCCCCCCACTGCTTCGAAGATAATTCACCCCCAGCTAATGCAGATTGAATATGATGCAATTATTATTCTAAGGAATGTTTAAAGCAGAACTCAGTAATTTGTTCATTTTCTTCCCCCATCAGAAACAGGCAAAGTCTGTTCCCAGTGCATTAAAAACAATAGATTAGAAGCTCATAGTGACTCCTGTGGACATTGTTTTACTTCGTGTAAATGATGAAACATTTATTTGCAAAGAAATTAATATCTAGGTGTCATACATCTTCAATAAAATGTCTGACACCAGACTAGTGAGTCATCCTCACAGTTTCTCAATGATCCATGAATTACAAAGTAGAACAGTTTAAACCAGAAGAAAATAAAAGAAAACAAAATTTTCTCTGAATATCCTGTATTTCAATAGATGAGCACTTTTTGGGCAGGTAAGGGATCAGTGAGTGCTGAAATCACCAAGTTATTGGGACAAATGCCAATAGCTCCCTCCTATTTCTCTCAGAAACAAAGTTCAGTTTTCAAGCTATCCCTGAAAAATGTGTTTTTAATCAAAGCTAGTTTTGAATTCAAGATGAATTCGCAAATTCCTTTGGGATGACTGTCTAAAGGATTTTAAAGTATTCAGTGAAAAATATCAGCTCAGCTTTACTTTTAGCAGCTTTGTTCCCAGTGAATGCAGACATGCTGAAACACTAGCATGGCATTTCTCTTTCCACTGCATCACATGGCAGAGCAGAAACTTCTACACGGTGACTAAAAGCTTTATGGCAATAGCATTGCAGGAAGGAAAAAGGGGTTTCTCTCTCACACTACACAGCTGTGACAGGGTATGTTTCAGAGTATCCTCTATATCTGTTCCTCCCCCAGAGTTTCCACAGACAGACACAAGCACACACCCTCTCATCTCATATAGAATCAGATGCCACTTCCTAACCAGGCACAGAAGTCTGGAGGACACGTGTTATGGGGAAAGTAAGTCCCACATTAAATCTTCAGGCAGGTAGGTAGTGGTCTGACCAAAAATCACCAAGAAATTCAGGACTTGTTTGAACTTGCTTTGGCAGTTTAATCAAGTACCTTCCTCAAAGCTAATCCCTTCTCTGAGTTACCTGTCCAATAAATCCTGAGTAGCTGAACCAGTGGCAACTTCTACTTTTCATATTCAAATTATTTAAATTACACTTCCATTTCTTAGGAATAAATTAGCAACCAGCACAAGGTAATCCAGCTTCACTGACCTTTCTACCGTTGCCACATTTTCCAGTTCATCTGGACTGAGTTTGCTGTTGGCACTTCGGGTGACTGGCTCCCGAATGCATGTCAGTAGGGTGGCCCCCTGCTTCACTGCGAGTTTCAGCTCATCCTGGGGGAAAAAACCAAGCCAAAACCCAAATTGTATGTACTTCTAACAACACTCACATCTCTAAGACTGGCAACATAGCAATGCTAAAGGAGGATTCTTTCATAGGTATGAAATACTTGGAACAAAATGTAAATGCTTACCAAAGGTGATATGTTTTTCAAGAAAATGCAGAGACTAAATCTGTTCACTTTGAATAGTAGATCTATTTCTGAGAAAAGGAATAGTATAATTTCTGAGCAGATTGCATTTCTGACCAGGCCACTTGCAGAATAAATTATTCATCCAAAAAACTGAATGTGTGCCGCAGGTGGTTCAGTGAGCTGAGAGACCGTGTGAGACATTGCACTTCTTAATGGAATTTCCTTAAACAACCTTGTGACATGCTGAGCCATAGTATATCAGCTATAAGTAGGCATCCACAGAAGAAGGTGTCTTCCCAGCATGAAACTTGAGCAATGAAAAGGACAATGAGGCTCAAACACGAACATATCAGCTGATTAATCCCCACATCACTGCACACTTCTTCCATAAAACTTGCTCTTCTGCTAATATAGCTTAAGTAATATTTTTTACTCTTGTGTTTAACCTAAGGTATTTGTTGACAGCAGTAATATTTTCCTCTGGTCCTTACTCTGAAGAATGAAACTTGCCTCAACTCTTTTAATTTTGTTTTTTTAAACAAAATGACAGCACTGGAACAGATTTGCCCAGAAAGGCTGTGGAATACCTCACTGGAAGTATTCAAGAACCGTCTGGACGCAATCCTGAGGCATATGCTACAGGGTGACCCTGCTTGAGTAGGGAGGCTGGACCAGATGACCCATTGTGGTTCCTTCCAACCTAACTGATTCTATGATTCTGTGACCATTCTGTCATCATCTAGTTAAATCATTCTGTCTATTCCTGGATTATCCTCACAAGTGTTTCCCTATATCTGTTGCAGTGTAAATGCATCCTTCCTGATGAACTCTTCACCAGGAGCCCATGCTATTCCAGATGTGATCCCATCCCACCCTCTCATACAGTAGAAGTGACATTTCCCTGTCCTATCATTCTTGAAGGTGTAAAAAGTGCTTTTGCATAGCTTTTTTTGCTGAACGCAGGTTTCTGTCCTCCTCGGTGGTTTCCAGACAACAGACTCACAAGTGATGGCAGAAAATTTTGGAAAATCAGATGTCATAGAATATGCTGATGGAGCCATCATGAGACAATTATCACCTTCAGCTTGCTGTGGTGGTCGGTGTGTGCAGAGAGGAGCTCCTCTGTGCACTGCACATCGTTGGGAAGTTCAGTCTCTGCTAGGTCTGTTCCGAAGGTCTGTAGCATCTGTGCTGTTGTTTTTACTGTCATTGCAAAGTTTTCAATAGCCTGGAAAAGCAAGGGCATAAAGTCACAGACTGGTTATTTACCCTTAGCCCTTTAACAATGCTTAGTCCTTCAGGCACACTGTGCTGCAAGTATTGAATGCCAGTCAAGCTGGTTATGTTGCTTCTTTTTGGGTGGATATGCTAACAGTTACAAATTAAATCCTGTGTCACAAATGACCTTTTCATGGGTCTGCAAGTATTGTCATCTCCGTGAGCCAACTGGGAACTCCCAGAGCTTAGCAGACATAACAAAACCACAGAGGGCATCAGCTTCAAAGCCAGGCCTGGAACCTCAGATCCTCCGCCCATTCTTGCTGGAAAATTCTGCTGTGTTTTAAATTTTAATTAAGGCTTTATTTAAGTTGAGGACACTCCTAAAGTATATAGGGCAAAGCCTTTCTACATTTATATTTATACAGCTATTGTTCACTCAGCAGTAATCTCTCTTCCCCCGACTTCTGAAAATGTGCATCTCCATCCTGCCTATCTGCACTAGATGCACTCTACTCCCTCCCTCCCATCTGTTCATGTTAGTACACAAATACAAGAACAAGTTGCTGAAAATACAGTTAAAATGCATAAATTCACAGCAGCATTGCTGTTTCTTTATCCCTTGGGTGCCGCAACACAAAACTTGTCAGAAGTCTGTGGTTTTACAGAAGAAAGGGGAAGTGAGGAAGACTTAAAAAAATGTTGCCTTTTCAGAGCAGACTATATTGCACAGGTCTGTGAGATGTGATTAAAACCTTTCTATCTAGTAACTGCATGGGATGTTTTATCATGATCATGCCCCAAATTCTTTGGAGACTGTATTGTTCTGTATAGCTCTTTATTCTTTGCACCTTTTGATCTAAGCCATCCAATGATTCGAGTCAGTCAACAAGCACTAGGGATGCTCCTACACCCAATCAAACACTAGGTAGTTGTTGCAGTAATGATGGGAATTCTTCATTTGCAACAGTTAAAATTATGCTGCATGCTCAGTGGAAAACAAACCAGAGGTAGATCATCATTCCAAAGGTGCACAGAGAAATTACAGTCCATGTATATGATCTGAAACATGCCCCTGATGAAGAAGTAATGCTAGCACAGTTCATAGCCTTCTTCCCATTTTCCTCATACATTCATGCCTGCTTTCAACACAAGCAGTACAGACCCACATATGCTCTGGCTTAGTCCTCAGCAGCTGTAGCCTGCTGTTCTCAGCACTGAAGCTACTGGATTAGGGTTGGCTGAAATGTCACACTTCTGACTGCAGCACAGAGACAGTCATCCACAACCAAAGGCCATTTATTAAAAGCCAAAAATGAACTCTGTGGGCAAGAAAGCTCACAGGCTCCTGCCAGCCAAGATAAAAAAGCAGAAACAGTGAAGGATGCAGGGAGATCACTGTGTCACTGCTATTTAGCAACAGTCAAAGCTGTTTCAGAAAAAAAAGCACTAGCTGGACAAGACATGAGAACACTGAGAGAAGTAGCAAAGGGTATGAAGACTGTAGCTGAGCAAGACTGAAGGTCAAATTGTTTCAAGGTGCCAGGGAGGCTGACACTTCCCTGATGACAACCTCTTATCCTGTAGATATTCCTTGGCTGATTGCTCCATGCACCAGTTTATCAGTGTTGCACTTAATAGCATGTTTACCCCCACCTCTCCTGTCTATATGAGTAACACATTGTTTCATATGCCTAAGTTACATCTGTGAGGGTTTTTTTCATGTCTCCGTGCTTGGCAAAAGTCAAACAAATTTAATCAAAACCTCTGGGGATTATATATCCCCACTCCCCTCAAATTTTGGCTCGCTTTTATTAGCATATAAACCAAACTATATATTATTGCTTTATGTAAACTCCTGTCACTAATAAATGATACAGCTTTTCTTGTGCCTCTTTTTACTCCCCTTCCTCATATTTTCAAGTCTTTAGCTGTTTGAAAGCTCATATAGATGATTCATTCCCTCACACTCCCCACTCCTGCAAGGACAGGTTCATATTTTTGATACTTTTAATGAGAAAGCCTGTTCACTTATTTCAATCCCAACCTCACTGTAGTCAACACAGTTTTAAATGTAGAAATTCAGATTCTGTGTTTGCATATTTAGAAGCCTGAAATATTTGGTAGTTCTCAAGGAGAGTAAAATTTAATCTTATAAGGACAACAAATCACAAAAAAAATACAGCAAGAAAATGCCAAAAGTTAATTTACCTCAGAAAAGCTCTTTTTATGAGTGTTAGGTGTAACCTGCCCATCAGCAACAACAGACTCAAACCCAGGGCTGCTCAGACCATTGCAAAACATTGGGACTCACATTAGGTGTGAGCTCTAACATACCAATCAGCAAGTAGACCCACAAAGACTCTTTTCATGAGTCCCTAGTAGAACCTGTAGACCGAAATGCAGCTGAAGAGTTACTACTTAATGACTGCTCTACATTGTTATCTGGGCAATTCTGCTGTGGACATGTGTAATAACACCAACACTCACAGTTCGGTGATGGATCCACTGGCTGTGGCCATACTCCAGGGTCCCTCCCAGCTCCCGGGTCAGCTGACTTTTGTCAATATAGCCATGCAGATCAGAGACAGAGTTTAACATGATGATCTGAAACAAAACCAAACACACAGGACTGAGAGAAATAATGAGTCCTTTCAATCATTTTTCTTAGGATCTGGGTTTGCCTTTACATGTATGACCACTGCAGTTCCACTATAGGTCACCAGTTCTCATTATGTATTTGTTCATGCAATGGCCACAGTTTGTTTTCACAAAATTTTGCCTCCTCAAACTGTACATGGTCGTTCTTGAAGCAACCATAGTTTGACATCATCTTACTTCTTGCTGAGCTGTGGATGCAGTCATTTTGCATGTGCATCAAGAGCAAGAGTATGGTATTGATAATGTTGACACAAACTTCCATCAAATTATTTATTTCTCTAGATAACTGTTATTTACAGAGAAATAGAGCAACAGGCAAGCTGAACAGCTTCCTCAACATCAACTACTTGTTCCAGGGAAGTGCTGAAATGAAACCACTGAGCATAAGACTTTCCTTTCAAATGTAACATTTTTATAGCACTGTATGTCCACCAATTTCACTGTCCTTATTCCATTTTAAATCTTTAAAGAGTCTCCTTACCATTATACCTGCTTTAATGAAAGACAAAAAAGATTTGCATTCAGCTTCAGGTAAGCAGCATTATCTTTTGGCAACCACTGTAAATCTGACAACACTAGTGGCTACACAAATAACTTGTATTTAATTACACCTTGTTGTTCTAACAGCTAGAAGGTACACTGTGATTTCAGCAGCAAATTACTAGGAATTCTAAGCATTAGACTTTAAGATATGTCAAACGTGCTGCTTCTCTCTGCTGTTTGAGAAAGGTTAACTGACTATGCCTCTCAGCAGGTTCCAAGGGAGCATGGTAATTACACTTGCAAACACGGTGGATGAGATGAGCTCAGACGTATGGAGAAAAGAGGATGTATATTCTAGGCTATTAGTGCTCTAAGAAAAGCTTTGAGAACAAACCTGAACAGGTTTTTAGCTGATCTTTGTCACAGAATAATTCTGGAATAATCCAGGCTGTCAAGAATCTCAGATCTCTAGTCCAGCTGCTTTCTGACAGCTGGGTCAGCTGTGAGATCAAACCAGGTTGCTCAGGGCTTTATCCACCTGAGACTTTCAAATATCCAAGGATTGAGATTGTACAACCTCTCAGGGCAGTCTGGCCCACTGCCTAATTATCTTTGTGGTGAAAAAGTGCTTCCTTATATCAAGTCAAACCCCTTATATCAAGTCAGAACTGCCCTTGTTTCACTTTTTGTCATTTATCTGATCCTACTGTCATGCATGACCTGGATACGTGCTCTCAGTAACCACTTGGAGGGACTGGAAAGGTTCTGTTATGCCATATTAATGCTCCCAGGTCTTCCTTTCTCTAGGTTAGACAAGCCCAGTTCCCTCAGCATCTTCTAACAGAGCACATGCTCCAAGCCCTGAGCTTCCTGATGTCTCTCTGTTGACCTCAGTCCAGATTAGTATTTTTGTTATACTGGGGGAACCAAAACTGGATAGGGGATTCTCAGTGTGATCTAATGAGAGCCAAGTGAAGGGGGATGAGTGCTTGTCTCAACCTGCTGGTTATGGTCCTGTTCATACTGCCACCGTTAATGAAGGATGCTGATGGCTTCGTTTGCTGCCAGTGCATACTCCAGCTCAGGTACAGCTTACTGTCTACTAAGTTCTCAGCTTCATTTCTGCAGACATGTCCCCACATAGTCAGGCAAAAATGCAACACTGTTGTGTGGTTTGGAGGGAACTTCTTTCTTGTTTGGAGGGTTCTTCTTTCTCGAAGAAGAAAGTCCTTCTGGAAGGAAAGTCCTTCCCAGTTGCAGGACTTTGCTTTGTTCCTTTGGTATTTCATAGTATGCTGGTCAGCCCATTCCTTGAACATCAGTTCCAGTAGCCCTGTCTTGGAGTGTACCAACTGCTCCTCCCAGTTTAGTGGTTTAGTGGTTTAGTGTCATCTGCACACTTAATGACAGTGTGGCCTATTGCCTCTTCTAAGTAATTGATGAAGACATTAAACAGGGCAGGTATGAAAAAAACCAAGCAGGTATCACTACAACACTAGATGCCCACTTCCAGATAGAGTATGACCCATTTCCATTACCCTCTGAGCTAACATGAAACTAGATTTTAAATACCCACCTAGTTGTCCTTCTATCCAGACTTTAACCTAATTTGGATACAAGAATATAGCGGAAGATACATCTGGCCCCATGGGCCTGTATGGGCTGAATATTCTCAAGCAGGCCCTGACTCAATTTGTTTCACTTCCAGCAGTTCATCTTCTCCTTGAATCCTGCCTTTAAATGTAGAAGCCAGAAGACCTTGTTGGTGAAGAAATGGAGGCAAAGAAAGCACAGAGTATCTCAGCCAAAGCTAAAGGGAAAACTGTTCCCTGAAAGTGTTACCAAACAGTTTTGTTATGATCAAAGCCAGAAAACTAAAAAAACTGCATCATCTTGGAGAGGCCTCAGACTGGAACTTGAATTCTGAATTGTAAATCACATTTGAGAAAGAAGTCTTAACTGCTTTGTAGCTCTTCCCCATCAGAGATGTTGTTGACAAGTTGGAAATCTTTTGATACTCCAGACTTCACTGAAACTACAGAGGAACACTGTCATGCACTTTTCTTTTAGGAGAAATTTAATGTTTGCTTTAACCCAATATGCTCAGCATGAGCCACAAAGCAAACCTATTAATATTGCCAGCTCTGGTGCTACCCAACAGGGCATGGGTCTTCACCCTGCAAGCATTTCTGCAGGAGAAAGCCTAGGAGCAATCCATCATCCATCTAAGAAACCAGTCTTGGAGAGCATTAACATCTCCCATGCTGCTTGCCAGACTGAAGACAGCCACAGGGAGTAAGCTGGAGAATGCAAGAAGTAGCAGTTTAGAAGAGGAGAGCATGCATGAGCAGGTCAGCATGGAACATGGAGCTGTGGTGAGGCTGCCTCATTATGGGTTAGGCTGTCTGAAAGAAGTCACAGCCTAAGCAGGTCAAAGCAATGCCTGCTATAGATAGATTGTGCAGCCTGTTGTGTATGCTGTGAAGATGCTCTAATTCACTTCCTGTGATGGGAGGTTCCTTAGATGAATCTCTGGGTGTTGCTTTTGAATTCCCACATTTTAATATCAAATGAACCCTGGTGTGTCTCCTATATTTCTGTATCTTGCTCCTAGTTAATGATATTTAATCAAATCACTATCCCAATATATATTTACCTTAGGAGGTTTGATTAACCCCATTTATTTGTCAATGTGATATAAATCCTGCATTTCCTTATTGTGTCTGGTTTATTATTTCAGCCTTTACTTCCAGTTCTTCTGGATACTACTCAATCCAGTGTTGATTTAACCCAGCAAATATATTTTACTGAACATAGTTGCAGACTGATAGCTCAGGTAACGTTTTATACAAATTCTTCCTTAACAAATGCACACTCTATTCTTGAAGGCCCTTTTGAATGCTCATGTCTTAGTCCTGACCTGCTAACAGTTGTGACAGAAAATACCACCCATCCACAGTTACGACATTAATGTTGTCATAATACCAAACACACAATATGAACAACCAACCTGCAAACAATTTAAAAGATGATGATACCCAAGATAGAATTCCTTGAGTAAGGACATCTCCCATGGGAGAACTTTCTGGCCCTGTTCTTATGCTTGGCACGTAGGATGCTATTTTCAAGGAGGACAAACAGACGTTGCTTTCAGGAGCTTCCCCACTCTGAAACTGGAGTACACAGGGGCATGCCCAGATGGTATTTTTAGGATGGGCTGCAAACACAGGTGAAATGTCCCTCCAGAGTGCACTGCAGACCCCAGGAACTTAGGATACCTTTAGCACAACCCTAAGCAACTTAGAGTAGCATCAGGCACATGTGGGTGGCCTGTACATGAATCTGACAGACTGTCTACAGGTATCTGGGCAGGAGGGAGGCAGATCCAGCAGGGTGTGTGGATCACACTTCTGTGGACATACCCAAGATAGTTCAAAATCTGAATATCCAAGACAATCCCAAACTAAACTCATATCTTGATTTTCCTGCCCGTAAGAAAGATAAATTTCATACTTAATTCAGTGCTTGACCCCTGCCTAGAATCAACTTCCCTTCCAAATTCCACCCCTTCCAAGTTGGACTTAAAATGCAATACTGTCATCAACTAAATAGCTAAAATTTATAGAAGAGGTTGAACTGTTGGAAAATGCTAGTCCTTGATGAAGTTGTCCCTTTCCAGACTTCAGTCACTGGTACCACAGTTGCTATAGTAACAGCTTGTGGCTTCTTAAATATAGGAACATTCATTTTTTAAAGTGCTATAAAATGAAAGTGTTTTGTATCCAAATATATTTTTTCATCAGTTTTGCATTTTACCAACAAGTCACCCTTGTATAACTACAGTAAATGTTACAATTTAATGCACAGTAACCAAATGTATATTCATGCTTCCTTTTCTGTATGCACTGTAATAAACAGGTTGCTCTCTCTCACTTCAGAAGCAGCATAAAGTGTCTTAAACACCTAAACTTCAAACTTGCATATTGACAGAGCTAGAATTCATTGGAGAAGAGCCATGAGTCTTTACAAAACAATATAAAACCACAAGCAAAATCCAAAACAATCATATGAAATCCCTCCAGTAAAGTCATTGTGGAACACAGTACAAGTCTGGCCCAGGATGAAGTATCATCAATAATCCTAACTCAAGTTTATTTATAAAACATTTGAAAGTACATGCAAACATGCAGCTAGGAACAACTCTCAAAAGAGCTCTCAGAGAATAATCTAAACCTTGAACTCTTTCAGGACTGATAGTCTTCAAATCACAGTCTCATCAATCTACAGCATATGCCAAGTGCATATAAAACAAAGTAAAAACCAAACTTTGAAACTTGAGGGCATGGGGATCATAAAAGGCATTCAGAATAGGCAATGCTATGGAAGCACATAACAGGGACCCTGTCAGCAGTCCCATGGATAATCCATAAAATAGTACAGAATTCAGCCCTAGCCATTTGCTGCTCTGTAGTCCTAAATACTTATGTTTGACATTGGAGTGAAAAGATCTACCCCTGCCTACATCAGGGGAATGGGTCCACTGGGTTAGGATGTCCATACTTAAAAATTGAGTCTCATTTTATAGCTAGACTGACCCTCCACATGGAAACATGTCCATTAAATACTGTGAAGCATCCACTGGTGATTAAGTCCTTAGCATTAGTATTACATACACCACACAGCCCCAGATAAAAGTCCCCAGTTGCCACTTGCAATCAGATTTCTGTTACTGGGTTATGAGAAACTGCTGACACCCAAGAACTGCAGATATGGAGATCAAGAAAACACATGGACAGAAAAATGTATGCTTACCGGTACCTTCATTTTAAAGTCATCTCGATAGAGTTTAATGCCGATGTCAGCGATTGCCCTTTGGATAAAGCGGGAGGGTCTCAGGACAAACACCAGCTGGAGGTTTCCTGGAAATGCTCCCTGCAAGAAATACAGAAGTATTAGAAGGCACAACTCTGTACCACAAGGGAATTTGCAGCCAAGTGTTTCCTAAAGAGGGCAAAGCAGGTAGGACTTCGAGACTCGCTCCGTCCAGCTGCTCATTGTATCAGCAGGTCCATTCAGCATGTGCCCATTGCCACGACCTCCAAAGCCAACAGGAAGACTGGCTCATGGACTTTACAGTCCAGCCACACATTGTTTTCTGATGTGGTTCTATCACAGAGCCCTAAAATGCCTGACAAGTACCTTCCTACCCCAAATCCGAACCCCACCAAGCCCCGTTTGCACCACCACTCCACAGGTTTTCCCCCTTTTTAGGCTGCAGCCACTAGAGGGCAAAGCTGGCTGCCCACGTTGGTCGTGGTGAAGGAAGCTGGTGGCACAGATGGATTCCCCAGGGTGACCTGCCTTCTCACTCTCCGAAGGGTTTTGAATCTTTAACCTTACATATTTTTCCACACACGCAGGCACTCAACGCATTCATCAGACATGGCCCTGCCTGCAACACCCAGCCTACATCTCACACACACTCCTCTGAGCTCATCAAACATAAAAAAAGGAACAATTTCTAGAAGAGAGCAGCTAAAAAACCCTGAGAATGAAAAACAATTCTATCCAAATATGTTTAAAGAACTTAAAGTTGCTTTTGTCATCCCTCCATCCTACGCCTCCCTGTATAAGTGCTTGTTCTTCACTCAGCACATGTTCCTGATATTAGATGCATAAAAGCAGCTGCCTGTCTTAACACTGAAAATCGGTGCCCAGCTCTGACTTCTGCAAATGGGCTATTAAGGGTTAACAAGAGTTTATTAAGCTATTAAGAGTTTCTGACAGAGATCACTTAATACCATGCAAACACAAGTCCCCTGGGATCTGTTTCTTTCATAAGCAGGCCATGTCATCCCCCTCAGTGCACAGAAGGGTACCTCTTATACTCTTCTAGGAACCAACTTCAAATTAATAGGATTTATATTGCAGTCAACCCAGAAAATAAGGAATTTGTCCTAATTCAGCAGTAAACAAGGCCATGCAATTTGTTCCTGCAGCTTCCTCCCTCTCTTATTTAACACTCATGAGCTTCAGGGCAGGGGAAAATCTGCATCCACAGACAGAAAATGGGAGCTAAAAAT